GCAATTTCACTAACATCAGTGAAATTAAAGTTACACACTCAGGAAGGCAACCTGATTGAATGAATTGCCAGTCTGTAAAAATGAATACTAGCTACTTATTATTCATTCCACAGGAGTGATACAAAGATTAGTAAAAGAGGCAAATTCATCCCTGCATAAGGCAGCATTAGGCACAAGCTGAATTACTGCCAAACAGGGATAACATGTTCTTTTTGCAACACGCATAGTGTGAGTTTTTATTTTCCAGAACTGTTGTCCTTACCTCCTGTCCAACAAAGCTTTATTCTGACACTCTGGAGTATTAAGAATCAGCACTGAGAAAACGAGCAAGTTCCTGCCATGCCCAACATGAAAGCAGCAAGGTCTGGATTTTCCAATTCCTGTTCTGAAGACAGTTGTTCCCTGTCCAACTATGATCTCTCTCACTAATTTCAGCCCTATTCTCATCTCAGGAGCTACGGGTATCAGTTCTGCACCGCATACTTTCCAGTATGAGAATGGTTGCTCTTGAGACCTACCAGCAATAACCTACTCATGGTGAAGGATCTTGTATATTCTCAATCCCTCTGAGTGTGGACAAGTCCTTTGTTTCTTAATTGGCTCACCTCTCTCCCTGTCTAAGTCCAGTTTAGCATAAGCAAAGGAGGAACGGAGAGTATTTGCGTGTTTCTTCACTTTGAAACCAGTTTGCCTATAGGATAAATGCCATGGAGCTGTGCTAATGTGCTGTCTAGATCTCTGTTATGTCCCATAGTTAAATCTGGAATAGCTGTAATCTTCCAGAATTTCATAACTGAACCAAACTCAAGCGTTTGGTTTTTTTCAAGCCAGACGCGGTTCTAGGTATTTTTCCAGTCCATATGGACAATAGTTACTGGAGGTGGAATCAGCAACTAGCACAAAGGTAAACCTACCTTTGTAGGCTGTAAGGCTCCGCATGTATTTATAGCAAACTCTGGAATTCATTTTTCAGTTGAGATAGTCTGAACACATCTTCCCCTGGCCTCTTTTCCCACGAGAAAAGCATTCAGCAGAAAGCTTACTTTGTAGTTCAAACGGATGGATTTAAATATGTCTTGGACTTTTCTAGGGGAGACTATTCAGTTACAAATGCACTTCGAGAACACCAGGAGACTTTTTAATTTGTTCCCCATGGCACAGCAATCCCCTTTATATCTCCTTCAGAGGTAACCCTGGCACACAGATGATCGATGGAAAACTAGGCTCATCGGGCCCTAAATTTGCATGGCCTGACTTTTTACTGCTAAAATACCAGTGGTGGAAGTCAGGAGGGTCATAGACTGCACTTTCAATTGCAGCAGAGACTGTTTAAAACAATGCATGATGGAAATACCAAACAAATATAGGATTCTGATGGGCTTAAAGGTTCAAAACACCAGGCCTATTCATTGGGCGAAACAACAGCATGTAATTGTACTTTGTAAAGCACTTCAGGGAAAAGACAAATTCCATAGTACCAGCATTCATTATCCTAAAACTATCCACTGGAGGAGGAAATGGAACTATGAACAGTTTGGAGCATGTTTTCTTTCTGTAGACCAGGAATAATACCAACACTATGAAGTATAAGGAAGTATGAAAATCAAATGCCCAATAGATCTGGAATACTTGAAGACACGTACAAATACTGTGATGACCAGAACTGAAAATCGTAAATTATGCATTTATGAACATGCTTCAACTGAGCGCAACAGACCTTCACTGAATAAAAAAGAGAAATCATAATGCTGTAGAGCACTGCTTACGCAACACACTGAACAAAGCAGGATTTCTGGAGAAAAACTAGTTTGTGACTATGCAATTAAAGTCTGCATTGTGATACATACAAAGCAGCTGAATTAAGATTGCTTGGAAAACTTAGCTCCAGCATAGTGCACAATTAACTGACTTGTGAGCTTGATGTTCTTTTAAGATATCTGCTCTATAACTAATTACAAATGCATTATAAATTAAGTAATTATAAATTAGTTCTGAATTGGAAGACAGTTCATAGAAAACGTTAAGGAAAGCACTAAAGGTTTCCAGTACAGCCTAACAGTTACATAATCACTACAGCTTCTACTCAAGAAAGGAGATCATGTTTTGCACCTCAGGTCTGTCTGTTGTAGTTCACACAAGAGTCTTTAACTGTGTTACAGTGACGCAGACAGATTAGGCACATTTTAAAGATTAAAGGAGTCACAAATTGTTTAAAATGTTTTGTTCCCCCTCTATAGACTGAAACAAGGCACATACATCACCATACTGTTAAGAATCAGCAGGTATTGCAAACCAAAAGGATCTCACCACAAGTAAAGCAGGAAAGATTCTGGAGCGTAACCTCTCCTGTGCAGTATTTGAGAGCATTGCAGCAGGAACTGCTTTGTCTCTGGCCACCAGGCTTATTTAAAAGAGGTGTATCAGCACCTCTTTTAAATCATTCTTAGCTCCACACACTCCCCTCCACTATATGTTCAAGAGCAGGCTGCCTTCTTACCCACTATACTAAGCGCCTTTCAAGCCTTCTGCAGAAATAACACCCTCCTCTCCGTGTGTCCAAGGAATTGCCTCTGTTGTCACTGGGCCTGTAAGTCTCTCTCTAGTAGTTTCTCTGCAGATAACTTAAGTCTCTGGCATACACAATACATGCAGAATGACAGAATAAGAAATGCTTTGGAGAAAACACTGACATATACTTTTGCCAGTAAGAGTTATTAGCTGTTATCAAGAACATTTCCAGTTGTCAAGACTATTTTATGAAAGGCAGCACAAAGCCTTTATATCATCTCGAGACAGCAGGGCCACTATTTTAACTCTGAAAGCATGGCACCTCTAGTAAATCAGCAAATCTGGAAATCTAGACTTATCAGTAAAACTCAGTTGCATGCCCTCACCATCTAAATCAAACACACTATTTCTTTTAATAACAGGGTTTTTCCCCAAGAATTCCCAAGATACGTAACAGCATGAACAGTTCCAATGCACAATGAAAGCAAATACAAAAGCCAAACATTTTTTAAAATGGCACTGAAATGCGGCGAAAAATTTGGGGGATTTTTGTGATTGCAGGTACTTTGCATAATCCAGTATCACAGAAATGCACTTTCTTTTAAATACTTTTAAAATATTACAGTATTAATATCTCCCATATATATATATATGCATTCAAAAATGTTCAGTTAAAAAGTGTTCACAGTGGCACTGTGCTAGGTGTTACATGAATGAATAACTCAATTCTACACAAAAATAGGTAAAATAAATAAACTTTAGAAAGTGGATAAATAAAAATATGTAACTGAATATAACTGAACAGCAAAACTGGAAGATATATATTCTCCTCTCTGCTGCTGAATGTGGAACATATTGTTTTCAGGCATTATCATATAAAATTGTGAGCTCATTCTAGTTCAAACCACATCTTCACCAGGTATGGAAAAGGCCCATTGACTGACAATGACTGGGGCAAATAAAGAAATGAAAGCAGCACTGGCTTCAATGGCCAGCCTGGGAAAAGGCTGAAATTTGTATTTAGTGCATCTGATAGGAATGACACTATTTCTCCTTCAGGGAAAGAGCTGTGATTCATCTCAGCATTTCAAACAAACTGCAGCAAATGGCTGGCTGACAAGCAAATAGAGGTTTGAACAGCTGCAGGTTGGGAATGGGTAGCTGCACCATATGAGATGTACTGCTATTCCAAGGCCTGTCAGTTGCTTGAATAACAGGCAATTGAGGGAGGCGATAGCAAGACAGTAAGAAAAGCACACTGTGTTAAAGCTGGTTCCTTATTGATCACTTTTTCCTTCTTCCCATCCTTCAGTTTATTGTCTCTTTTTCTGTTTACAGCCCTGCTATGAAAGATGAGACATGTCTAGTACGCAATACTCTCCTTACTGCTTATTACATCCAAGTCCCTAATGGCCACGTTGCTGCACTCTGATTACCAAGTTCTCCCAATGCATTAAACACTGTGACTCACAAATACCACACAGTAGATCTATGACACCTACTCTCTCAGTAGATTGTCTGGCACAGGTATCTTTTCATAATAATAAACAGCTAACATATACACACAGTATTATATTTCCCAGCCTAAGAAACATCAAATGATGACGAAGGACTACAACAGTCACGGCAATCATGAGAGATATTTTCATGTTTTTCATTGCGATGATTGTGCAGTTGTTAAAATCCAACTTTCTAGTTAACTTTTTACACAATAAACAAAAAAATCACAATTCGCAAAGTAGCTTAGCACTGAAAAGACCGCTGTTTTCTTCCATTTTTCACCATCTCCATTTGTCTTCCTTACTCTCCCTGGTGCTTTTGGGACAAACTAGACCTACCTCAAGTGGATACAGAGTTACAAAGATGACTACTGCCTACCCTTTTCAAGCTGATGCTTTCTCTGCATGTGTACAGCTGAAGCTAGTTTTGTTTATTTGGGGTTTATTTCTCCTTATCTAGATTGGATATTTAAAAGCTTCCTTTACAACAATTTTGATTCAAAAGCCATCAGTTTATATTACCATATCAGAAAGCCTTTAATACAGTAAAATCCCCAAAATAGCTTCCCACCACCCCATCCAGAGGGTTTCTATTTATTATTAGATCTGGAATGCAGCTACACATGAGAATTTATGGCTGGGGGAAGCTGCAATAGATTTTCCAAGAAAAGCCAGGGAAACGTGATACTGCCTGCCACAGTGGTCAGTAAGTCGATGACGTGCTTGATACACTGCCTAGCAAGGGAGCTCCTTCCAGCCCTTCAGTTCAACTGGAGAATTATTCTCCCTTCAGTCCTCTTCCAGCAATGAGAACTGCAATTCTCTGTAACCTCAACCACCACCAAATTATGCTTGATTGTTTCTGCCTCCTGTTACATCAGCTGTGCGCTCATACAGCTTCACTGACCTCATCGAAATTACTCCTGAGTTTCACTAATGTAAGCATAAAAAGATCAAGCCCTTAGGGGAGGAAGGGTAGACAGGGAAAACAAATTGCAACTCTCTCGTTTTATTTATTTGTGTTGCTACATGATAAAATGGCTCCAATCTCTTGCTTAGCCAAAGGAATAATGGCCTCAGGGCCTTATGAATGTATATGCTGCAGAAGGGTACTGTCCATCATTTCACAATGTCCAGAGGTGAAGGGTGACTGCTGCATTGTCACAGAGAACAGAACTGAAAACACAGAAAAATACATTACTGCAACCTTAAAGTACACAATAAAGCACTGTTCTTCCTGATAATTACAGTGACTCTATAAATCCAGAGACCACAGATGTATTCTTATAAATGATAAACTTCCAGTAGGGAGCAGACAGGTACACGAATTAAGAACAAAGTACACAGATTTGCTCAGAGTAGCAAATGTAACTGTGTAGCTTCCAAAACAACAAGACTTTGGCATGCCTCCTACAACCAATAGCAAAACAAAACATATCCCTTGACAATAAGACTACCTTGGCTGACAAGATGTTCGAGCCACTGCTCCAGAACACAGAATGGTTTACAGGTCAGTTAGCATACATATAACCACAGTAAACACACCTATCTCTTAACACCTACTTTTGCTTAAAAAGTTAGAGGACTTGATACCCTCTAAGGAAGTTACAGTCTCCTTTGCATATCCTAGAAAGGTTTTATTATTACTTCATTACGCTGCAATCAGATCATATTTTCGATGTCAGGCATTCTCACATTCCCCTTCAGAAATGGCATGGGGAAATGTCAGGGAACATACCAAGATTATTAGCAAGCGATGGTGAAGTGCACAGAAGGTGGCTCTCTTCCATCTCCTCCAGAACTGTTTCAGCAGTCCAAAATCATGGTGAACAGAACTAGATTACAGGAGGTGGTGCAAGAAGGAAAAAGAAGCATCATCTTCACAAATGAATTAATGAGCTTTTGAGAGTACTTAAGAGAGATGCCCCCAACCTGGAAGTACTCAGGGCCAGGTTGGACGGGTCTTTGAGCAACCTGATGTAATGGAAGGTATTCCTACCCACGGCAGGGGGTTTGGAACGAGGTGATCTTTAAGGTCCCTTCTGACCCAAACCATTCTATGATTCTATGATTAATACAAACACTCTCCAACTTTGTATGTAACCAGAAAATTGTATAGGTAGTACTCATTTCTTTACCTTCATTTTGACATATTACAATCAATTGCAACTGAACAGTCCTTTTTTTGTAACAGAAGTGATTCCCTTCTCCTCTTTAAATGAAATCCCTTCCCATCTGTTGCCTACACATGAAACCATACCAGAAGATGCATTCTGGGAGCGCACCTAATGGGAACTCGGTCTACAGGGCAGAACAAGCCCTAGTCTGTATAAAACCTCTGACATGCACACAGTGGGACGAGGGTTCCTTAGCATCACTTCGTTCCACCAATTTCCTCCTACTGGGTTGTGTTACTTATCAAGGCAGTTATAGCTCTATATATGTACAGCTGGTGAGGTGAGTTGGAAGGAAAGGAATATAAAGACTAGATCTTTATCTATATAAAGACATCAATGATATTTGCTCCAGCAGTAGCATAACTTTACCCAGATGTAAAGAACATTAAAAGCTTAATAGTGTTTGCATTTCTCGATCAAATATTTTTAAAGACACCAATGCTTATGAGCAAATAGGCTTACGGAAAACGCTTGAAACAGGTAACTTTTTTCCAAATAAAAATTAGCGTATGACAATTAATGTTCTAAGACTTCAAGATTTTTTAACAGACAATCTAATCTGCCAAACGCAGCTTAATAGGAGCCATCAGCAGAGCTGATCTCAGCTGTAGAATGGCTACAAGAATTCCACCCATACAGTCTAGCTGTGTGATGATGCAGGCACTGAGAAGCTAAAGGCACTGGTTAAAACAGGCTTGGATTTAAGTTCAGAAAAGCATCTCTTTGTAGGCCAGCATGGAGCAAACCTCTTTGATATTCAGCTTCACCACTGGGGAATTACAAAGCCAACTAAGCATATTTCCTAATAGACTTTCTGGTTTTATATTTTTCCCGGGAAACTCTTTCCTAGAATTAAATCAAGAACAAATATTTTTCTGCCTGCAAAAGGTGTCTCTGTTCCTCCAATTAACCTCCAAAGGGAATCCTAGCTTTACTCTGAAACTAAACAAGGATGGAACAGAAAGCACAAAGGTATAAAACCTGTGTCTTGCAGCTCTCCACAGGAAAGAATATTGCAGGATAGGAATACTGGAAAACCTGAACACATTTTGTCATTTACAACTTCTAGTTTATCTTTCTGCCTAGAGTACTCAAATAATGAAGCACATTTCTAAAAAATGACTGGTTTTCTTTTTTAGAAACAGCTTTCTGTCCTTTGAAAAGTCTATATATTTTATATGTTTGGTATTTTTAGACATGGAAACATTCATATTTATGCAGGTTTAAACAATGCTAAAAGTAAGGCCACAGGAAGGCTTCATAAAGGAAAAAGGTACACAGAAGCCACAGGGAATGTGAAAAAGTACAATAAATTGGCCTCCAGGTTTATACCACCCCTAGCCAGCTCACTTGCTAGATGATCAGAATCTCAGTGCTAGAACAATCAGAAAAATAATAGCAATCCCATTAAATGAGTAATATCCTCCAAACACCTTAACTCTGCTGTAACTGCAGTGGTATCAACCCCTAACAGCTCAGCAACTGCTGTCATTACATCCAGAGAACACCCTGTCAGAAGTAACACGATATATAGTCAATACAAGCTCTCTGACAAGGCACCAGAAAATACACTCAGGCACAAAGTCAGACATCGTTTCATTTCCCTTCTCTGCTCCCACTCCTACAACGGTTTAACTTAATACATGCAAAGAGTCTTGTTGAAATCAGTGGATATTCCTAATGGATGAAATTAAGCACTTAAACAATTCTCTGCAACCCTAAACTTTTATCGGCTGTTTGTTATTTCTACTGTATGATAAAGGATTGCCAAATAAGGCAGCTTTACTATGTGAACAAGTTTGGATTTTTCTGCTATAGCTATACAGCTTTTCAGCAATATATTGTGTTTTACAGATCTGGTGCTGGAATTATTATATTTGGTATCATTTTGTACATCCGCTGACATCAACTGAGATAAATTTTATTTCTGCTTGCCTTTTTTTTTTTTTTTTTTTTTTTTTTTTTTTTCCAGGCTTCTCCTGGTTTGTCACAAGCCACATTCTCTTTCTGGCTTTGTGCACCGACTTCCAGTTGCAGAACCCTGCACACCCTTGAATGCAAACTGCTGGGAGACATCATGGCTTTTAATATTAGGAATTTCTTTTCAATCTGAGGGCAACCAAACCTTGGATGAGAGGCTCAGCGAAGCTGTGGAATTTCCACCCTTGGAAAACGCAACTGGACAAAACTCCGAGCAACTCGCTCTAAGCTGGCCCTGCTCTGGCGCTCCCTCAGACGAATTTTGGAGGCCTCTTCCAACCTACATGGCGCCGTGGTTCCGCGGCTGGGATCCCGCCCAGACACACGGCACCAGCTTTCAAGACCTTTTTGCTGTGGGGAGCCCTGCACTGGCCCTCGCCTCGCTCCCTTCAGATACATTAAAATGTTAAGGCGGAGCAGCTCCAGCGGCGCGCGCGCTCGCTGCGAAGACACGCTGAGGCTGTGCAGCGGATCCCCACGCACAGCCCGGGCTGTCGCTGCCGCCGTTGCCGGCCCCACGGAGCCTTCCCCGCGGCGCTGCGGGCCGCCTCACCTCGGCTAGGCCGCCGGGGCCGCCTGCTTCCCCGACACCGGCAGGACATCCCCGGCCCCACACCCGCACGAAGCCCCCACGCACCCGCCCGCCCCGCGGAACGCGCCGCGCCGGGGAGGGGGCGGGACCTTCCCCTTCTTCCTTCCTTCCCCTGGAGACGCTACTTCCGGGTCGGCGGCGCCCGCAGCCCACGTGTGCGGCGGCCGGGAGCGGTGCGGAGCCGGGTCGGTGTCGGGGACCGGGACAGTCGCCGACGGCCGTGTCTCGCCCGTCCCGTCCCTATCCCCTCCCTGCGTGCCCGCCCCACCGAGGAGCGGCGGGCCCCGCAGCGGGAGCGGGGCGGGAGAGGCGGCAGGTCCCGGTGCTTCCGCCGGGCCTCTGCGGCGGGTCCCGCCGCCGGCGCGCGGAGCCATGACGTCCCTGGCGGAGCAGCTGCAGCGGCTCGCGCTGCCCCAGAGCGATGCCGCCCGCCTCAGCCGCGGCCCGGCGCCCTCGCTGATGTTCAGCGCCGCCGAGGCTGCGCGCATCGACCGCGACACCTTTTTCGCCATCGGTGAGTTGGGCTGGCCGGGAAGGCAAACCCGTATTTAGAAAAAAAGGCCGAAAGGATAATTCAGAAAACGACGGGCTAGTCAGCATCCCTCCGGTCCCCCGGGGAAGTCGTGGAGCAGCTCCTCATGGAGCAGTTTTCTGGGCACGTGAAGGGTGAGGTGGTTGGGAAGTGTTGGGGGTCCCAAGGTGGGCAAGGGCTGGAGAACTTTCCCTGTAAGGGGAGGTTGGTGGGAGGAACATCTCCGGTCTCAGTCTGGAGAAGAGAAAGCTTTGAGGGGTCTGATGGCAACCTACCAGTACCTGTGAGGAGGTCTCAAGAAGATGGGTCAGGCTGTCCAGGGGAATGCGTGGCTGGAGGACAGGACACAGTGGGCATAAGTTGAAACAACAGAGTTTCGAACTGGGGAGAAGGAGAAGCTTTTTCTCCGTGAGGGCAGTCAAGTGGTTGAGCGGGTTGTCAAGGGAGGTTGTGCTCCCCTTCCTTTTCAAAACCCCGGCTGGATGATGCCCTGAGCAACTTGGTCTGACGTCAGGGCTAACCCTGCTTTGAGCAGGGCCTTGGACTAGAGGTCTCCCAAGGGCCCTTCCAACCTGAAATCTGTGATTTCTTGAAAATGTGCTCATTGGTAACATTATGTCCAGAAACAGTGTAAAGTGGCAGAAGGCATTGCTGTGTTTGCAAACTTCAAATCCTTCATGCTTATCTCTTATACACTTTTGCAGAGAACTTTACCCAGGAATATGATATTTCTTGAATAAGAAAGCGGTTTTCTAAAATCAGAAAGATTGATAACATATGTTGGTTTTAAGTAACAAGATTGTAGATATACATGTCTTCGATGCAACATGGAGTATTTTATAGTTTCTTAAATAGTTACAGTAGAACTGCTGCATATAATCGTTAATTTCTTCCCTATTTCAGCTGAAGTTGTCTGCTTTGTGCGTAGCCATTAATATATACAAGCTTGTGTAAAATAATTCCAATGGTTGTCCAGTGGTGTACGTCCAATGTTGTATTTAAATTTATTCAAAGAGGTACGTTTGCTTGCTTTATCTCTATAAAATCATAGAACACTTCTGGCTGGAAGGGTTCCATGAAAGTCATTTGGTACTAGCCCAGGGCTGGTTAGTGCAGGTTGCTCAGGCATGTGTTCGGCTATGTTTGAGGATGGCGGTTTCATGGTCTCTGATCCAATATTGAGCCTCTGATCCAGTGTTTGACCACACCAGTGTTTAAAAAAAAAATTAAAAATCAATCTATACATTGACTTGGAATTTCCCATGTTCCAGCTTGCATCTGTTGCTTCCCACCCTTCCATTGTACATCTCTGAGAAGAGTCTGGCTCCTTCTTCTTCATAACCTACGCTATATCTCATTAAGTAGTTGCAGACAGCAGGAAGATTACCTTCTGACTTTCTCTTTTCCAGGCTGAAAAAACCCAATTCCTTCTTTTCCTTCTGTTATTTTTCAGTCCCCTGACCATCTTAGTGTTCCTCTGCAGGACTAGCACCCTTCTACCGGCGAGCTCAAAGTTGTACACAGTACTCCAGATGCAACCTCACAAATGGAGGGGACAGCTCAGCTCCCCCAGCCTGCTGGCTGTGCTCTCCCCCATACAGCCCAGGGTGCTGCTGGCCTGTGCTGCTGCAAGAGCGCGCTGCCGAGACCTGTTGATGTTCTTCTTTCCTGCTCACTTAAAAAATACTTAAAGTGTAGCAAAAGTTTTGGTCTTAGACCTGACCTGCCTACTATGTGGCTTGGTTTGCTTAGTGAGGGTGACATACACCAGGTTAGCAAAGAAGTTGGATATGCCAGTGAGGAGGTAGATGGGTAGGACTGGTGAATAAAACTGTTGCATTTAAAGTATTCCATTTTTTCCACAGGATGCACTGGCTTAGAAGAGCTCATGGGGATTGATCCTTCATTTGAAGTGTTCCAGTCAAGTTTGTTTAGTTCCACATCCAAGGGCCTGGAACGCAGTGTTCAGTCTAAAGCAGTAAATCAGCAGCTGAATAAGAATATTTCATTGTTCCTGATTCACTTGTCCCCTTACTTTATGCTTAAGCCCGCCCAGAAGTGCCTTGAATGGCTGATTCACAGGTAATCCACTGAATAGCCTATATGCCAATAGATGAGGTATATATAGAAGTGCCAGATTTTTTTTTTTTCCTCGGTGAGAAAAATTTTTAATAATTTTACTTTAGTTTTATGAAAATGCAGGTTAAAATGTTAAAAATATCTATTTGGGCTTAGTCTTTATGGAACCAGACATTCTTCTTTTGCCAATTAGATTTTTCTCTTTTGATAAATTTCTGTGAAAATTTGGATCTATCATGATGTTCTGTATAAAAGCAGTTATTTCCTTGCCTGACTCACCAAATTTGCCCAGCTCTAGACATCAGAGGACCTAGAGAGGCATTTATGTAATATGCTTTTAGAAATGAGCTGTGTAAAATACCTAATTTTCAATATTAACTCTGAACCGTGAATAGCATGCCCTTGTATTATGAAGTACCCTTATTTCAAGGTGATGTAGGAATGTGTGAAGAAAAAGCAAACCAAGCATCTTGTGAAGTGATGCTGTATTTATTTATATGAATTAACCTATCCATATGCAGAAAGTGTAATATTTAATTTCACAAAAGGGTGGGCAATTCTGTTGATACACCCTTTGAATCACAATTTTTTTAATATATGTATTATACTGACATTCATGCTAGATTATTGTAATTTTTAGTTTAATATTGAAATCTATGCAGGAGAAAATAAGGTAGTCTTAAGTCCTATAGGTACCTAAAATTACTGAGAATGAGGAAGAAGATTGCTGGTGCTGTTTCTTTCCTCTAGCACATACAGACTGGCTAGTGGCCACCTTGGGATTCTGGAGTGTAGGTGAACTGTATGTCTGAGTCAATATGGCAGTCATCTCTTGTCTTGCTTAAAAGCAAGTAAAACAGGTGTCCAGAGAAGAATGTGTCTGGGTGCTGGGTTTTGTTCGTCTTTCTTGGACTTCCAGATAATTTTTAACTGTATGTATATATGTGTTGTTCTTAGATTTCACATCCACCTCTACAATCAAGATAGTTTGATTGGTTGCGTTCTGCCATATCATGAGACTAGACTATTTGTGAGAGTTATTCAACTTTTAAATATAAAAAACCCAACTCATAAATGGCATTGGATGGATCCAATAAGGGTAAAGTGTTTAACAGATGAAAGTTGGGAGAAACTTGAGAGACTTTGTTAATAATACCTTGACTCTGTTACTACGCTTATGAATATGGTCCACCTCTTCATGTGGTTAGTTGTAGAACTGAAAGATTTAATTGCAGGGATGGAGCCTGGATGCCCACCTGTTGTTTCTGCTATGTTTCTTTATATTTAAAGTTAATTATAAAAAGCTTTGATTGTAATTACTCTTTGTTTTGGCAAAGTTAAATTATGCTTTTAGGGTGCCAGTATTTACTACTGCTAGGAAGATATGTCAATTACTAAATATGTTTATTTCAATATAGATTATATGTAATGCTCTTCATCGTCTGTCTTAACGTAGATACAAAAAGTTCCAGAGAGATGTGTGGGTTTCCATTAGTTATTTCAGTTTAAATGGTGTTAACTGATCAGTAAGGTTAATTTAGAGATTATATTGATTTTTATTTTGGGTGGTTTACTTTACCCTCGAGTGTTCTAATTTAATTTCTTTTACCATATAAAGAAACCCGGAGTCCCACTGGCAAGGGGTACTGTCATTACACACTGCTACAAAGACCTGGATTTCATGGATTTCATCTGCAGCCTGGTGGCAAAATCTGTGAAGGTTGTTCATTTATTCTAGAACATTATTTGTTTGTTGTCACTTGGTTTTCTCCATCTTTGTATTTGTACAGTATTGTGCTATTTACTAACATTTTGAATTACATATCAAATAGTAAAAGGAGTAATTTTATTAGTAAACTATGTGAAGAGTTATTTTCTTAGTACTAGTAGAGATGATGGTCTGTCAGAAACTTTTGTAAGGAAGTGGCTGAGAACCAGTGAGCCATGACAAAACAATCTGGCGATACTGTATTACTTGAAGATACTGTATTGCTTCAAAGTACTTAATTGTCTTAATTTGTTTTATAAAGTCATTCCTGCTATTTGTTTGTAGCTGTGCTTTGAATTTGCGTATCTCTTTTGGGGGCTGCCGTGGGTGTTTTCAAGGTACATTTTCAAATATTGATGAGAAATTAAAATTGAGAATATTAGCACGTGAGTGGGTTTATTTGTTTTTTTCAGTTAATGTCAAGTAGAGAGCTAGTTTGACAGTCTCAGAAGACTAAGATGTGCAACAGTTCCAATTATTTAGAGAACTAGAATGCGTGTACTGTGAAACTAAGCAAAGCACACACAATATCAGGGTTTGTTGACAGATGTAGTAGGGGGTTTTAAACATATACCTGTCAGCATCTCGACTGTCCAGTTCTCAGTCTTGAGCATTACACCAAAATCACAAGTGATTTAGGTTACTTCATTGTGATTAACTACAGTAGCTGAGGAATAGTACCCGTTTTCTTCTACCTTCTCTGCAAGGGGTA